ACATCGTATTCATGATCTCAAATTATTTGTTATATAGTAGTGTTGAAAGTATTAAAACTGTATGTTAACAAGCATTTAGTTCTTGGAAAGAATTGGCTTATATCTCATAAACTAACAATGATTATTTTAATTCAATCAGGATAAGAAGATTAAGAAGCACAAGTTCAACTCCAATACTTGTTAGAACTGGAGAAAGAAGTACCACACCGTACTCAAAACCCAAACGAGATATCATTGATCTTATTGACGAGGAAGAAACGATGAAAGAACTGCAAGACTGCAAGAGCTCTTAGACAGCTCTCCCACAAAAAGTACAGCCAGCACAGACAGTTTTTGCAACCGAAACGATAACCATACATATCAATATCTTCAAAATCAGTATCTAGGACGTGTAAGGTTAGGTTTTATATTTATTCGCATTTTGAGATGTAACGGCCTTTTCCACATTCAATAGTTCTGAAAATCTGTTTTTGTTTTGCGTCAAATTTCTCTCTCTTCGTTTTAACACTAACAGTACTGCACCCCTTGTACTTGTAACTTGATGCCCGACCATATAGCCAAGGCTCAAACGGCCTACACTGAAATTTCCGATATATTGGATAGTTTCCCGACTATAAATAAAAGCAACAGATCGAAGGAAGACAGTCAAAAGGCGTTTGATAATTCAAAGCTGAAGATTTTCAACCTCATGAAGTCAAGCATTCTGCCTGTTATCACTGATAAGGGTGCTACATCATACACTTACATTGTAAAGGAGAATGTGCGAGTATCGGCTGAGATCAAAGATTTGCAGCTCATAATCAGAGAGTTGCAAACGGAAAACAAGAGCTTGAATGCCCGAGCAGATACGCTAATTGGGACCTATAGTGACGTTGTTGGTGAAGTCAAGACTGTTTTGGAAAACTGGAAGCAAGATCTTGATGTATCAGGTATAGATATGAAGAAAGAAGTGAAGCAGGTCGTTAAAGAACACCTGAAAGAGATTATGACCGAAACTGTCTCCACGATAGTCAAAACAGACAAAATGACAAAAACATTTGCTGACGTTGTGAAGAATACAGAAAGTATCATTGGCCGCGAGACGAAGAAATGTTTCGAGAACAGTTTAGCCTCTGCGCTTAAGGAAAGCCAGTCTGAGATTGTATCTCAGACCACAGCTCGACAGGAAGCTGATGTGTTCGACAAAGAGAAGCGTATCAGGAACGTCGTGATCACTACTGTTCCCGAGAGCTCACTAACAGAGATAAAGGACAGGATCGCAGCCGATAAGCTGATAGCTGCCACGGTTCTAGATGTCACAACCGACCAGATAGAACGCTGCTACAGAGCTGGTCCCCCTCTCGGGTCTGGCTCTAATAAGGAAAGAACAAAGCCACGACCCCTTGTTGTTGTGCTTGCGACACCAGATCTTGCCCGTAGCAAGCACAAGTACGGAAATGGCTGCAAGGTTCTCAAGGATGGTGAGGACTACTGGATAAATCCAGACTTATCCCAGGCTGAAAGAAGGGCGAACTACGAGGCGCGGCAAAAAAGACGGGAGCGGACGAAGGACAGTGGTTCCAAGGGACTATTGACAGGTGGTACGGAATCGGAAAACTCCGGCAACGTTGCGACCTATTAGCTGTCTCTAGTTATAACTCTAAACTAAGAAACAATGCTAGTCATTTTCTGAAAGTTTTTTATTCAAATGCAAATGACTTGAAGAATAAAATCAGTGAACTGCAAATTGTAGCCGAATCCAGCGACTGCAAGGTTTTGGGAATTACAGAAACAATGTTCAGTGCAGATGTGTATGATGCAGAGGTAGCATTAGCGAACTTTAGGCTGTATAGAGTAGATCGATTAACGGGGAAAGGTGGTGGTTCTTGTATATATGTGCATGATTCTATCCAATCTCACAATGTAACAATAAATGTACCTGATTGCATATGTGTCATGCTAAATTCTGATTGTATTGATATTGCATTATTTGTTATATACCGATCCCCTTCATTAACAATCGATAAGTGTCAATCAATGTTATCTAATCTGTCCGTAGCGATTGAAAATCTAGCCCCTAATACCGAACTAATCATGATGGGAGATTTCAATCTTCCTGATGTTGTGTGGGATTTAGGTGTAGTTAAATGTCCGAATAATTCAATTAATCAAAAATTCCTGATTCAACAGTGCTATCTTGATTTTTTCGCAAAACATGATCTCAGTTGGGTTATCGGAGACGATGTTAAAACTCGCAGAAGGAAGGTTTTAACAACAGTGCAATCGTCAACTCTTGACAATGTTATGACTTCAGACCCCGCCATATTTCAGGAAGTTCAAATAACTGCACCGCTGGGAAAATCAGACCATGTGGGAATTATCAGTAAGTGGTCAATTGCTAACCATGATGAGTATGTGACTCAACAGAAGAAGAATTGGTCAAAAGCAAACAAAGATCTAATCATTGATACAGCAGGGCCGCTGCAATGGAGTGCCAATCATGACTTGACTATTGAAGAGCACTGGAATCTGATTCAGGCCAATGCCAACACCATTGCTGAAGCTGTTCCAGTCGTCAAATTGAGGATAAATCGTGCGGGTGCAATAAAATCACGATCGGTCTGGGACAAACCATGTCTAATCAAGGCACGGAAGCTAAAAGAAAAACTGTGGTCTATTTTTGAAAACGACCCGACATCAAAAAACCTGAATCATGCACTACATCAGCAGAGTGCTTACGAGAAGAAGCAACAGCAGCTCATGATATGCTATGAGAATAAAGCAGCAGCCCAGCTAAAAATAAATCCAAAAGCTTTCTACAGCTATATGAACTCCAAGCGCAAGATTAGGGCTGCAATATCTGGAATCAGAGATGCTAGTGGGGATGAACTCCACTCAGCACATGATATGGCTAACCAACTTGGGATTTTCTTTGAGAGCACGTTTGTAAAGGAGGATCAGGCCTCAATACCTGACCCACTACCCGGAGACAGCGCAAAGGAGACGATTCCTGACCTGAAATTCAATACAAGTGAAGTTCAAGATCAACTTCGTAAAGTTAACATCTGGAAGTCCGTTGGACCTGATGATATACACCCCAAGCTTTTGAAAACACTAGCCGAAAACAAACAGTTTGCTGATTCAGTCACAGCACTGTTCCAAAAATGCTACAACGAGGGAAAGATTCCCGAAATCTGGAAGCAGGCAAATGTCACTGCATTGCATAAAAAGGGGGATAAATCCCAAGCCAGCAATTATCGCCCTATTAGCCTAACATGCGTTCTTTCCAAGATCTTTGAGAGGTTTTTAAGGAACCATATTCTAACTCACGTATCCCCCATGATTGTGAATGAACAACACGGTTTCCTACCAAAAAGATCCTGCGTCTCGAACCTACTGGAATGTATGGACATTGTCAGTGAGATACTAGAGAAGGACGGGTCAGCTGATATACTGTATCTCGATTTTCAGAAGGCTTTCGATTCTGTACCACACAAACGATTGCTGAGAAAATTACAATCCTTTGGAATATCTGGCAACACCCTTGCAGTCGTGGAAGACTTTCTAACAGGAAGAACATTTCGCGTCAGGGTTGGATCATCATTTTCTAGAGTGTTTGCTGTAACATCTGGGGTCCCTCAAGGAACCGTGCTGGGCCCCCTGCTCTTCCTGCTCTTCATAAATGATCTCCCTGATGGAATTGAGAGCTTCGTATCACTCTTTGCTGACGATCTTAAGCTAGTAACGAGCACAGCTAAGCACAGTGTTGCACAAGATGATATACTGAAACTCAATGCGTGGGAGAAGGAATGGTTCCTAAGATTCAATGTGAAGGATGGCAAGTGTAAGGTACTACATATTGGGCGTAACAATCCAATGCACGAGTACTTCATGAATGGGGAATGCCTCCCCCAAGTGAAGGCAGAAAAGGATCTTGGAGTTCTAACTACCAGAAACCTGGACTGGAGTGATCATATAGATAAGTCCGTGAAAAAAGCAAAGTCTGTTATAGGCTGGATCAAACGAAGTTTGATCTGCCGTAACAAATTTGTTATGCTAAATGTCTACAGAACTCTAGTTCGACCTCACAACGAATACGCTGTGCAAGTGTGGAATCTACCAGCAGAGCAAGGAAACTGGAGGACTATTAAGAAGATAAAAGATGTTCAGAGAGAATTTACACGAATAATCGACGGGATTGGTATCCTACCATACGATGAGAGACTGAGAATCCTCCAGTTAACAACACTACTGGAGCGCCGTATGAGGGGTGATCTTATTGAAACCTTAAAAATAACGACGGGTAAAGTGGACTATGGACAAGATCTTTTCAGGATATCACGTAGCGGTACCAAGATCCTAAAAGATAAAAGAGGAAATCAGGTCCTCAGTAACCGTGTTGCCAATTACTGGAACAAAGTACCAAGTTCGGTTAAAGAAGCCAGTTCAGTAGATGCATTCAAAGCTCGACTTCAATGTTATAAAAATGAACTGATAGCGAGTGGAGCATCGTCAAAGGGTCACTTCTGGGATCTCAGCGAAACCTTGATGTCAAAAATAAATACATGTGAGCATGATTCATATGCACATTTCATGTCTAATAACCCATTGATTGCTAAATACCGAGGAATCAATGTTTCTTGATTGTTAAATTCAGAACTACATGTTAACGTCCTAAAAATAATTAATCATTAAATGTTCCGGATAGGAACATTTTTCTTTTTGATAATATTGTGCGAACTGCAATAGCGTAGAGTGCAGTTGGGTTTCAAGTTTTGTCGAGATGGCCATGTGGCCATAATCCTATTATTATTATTATTAATAAATCTGTCGGAAATCCGAATTTATCTTACTGCAATCACTTGCTGATATATCAGTTATCTGCGCTTATCGGCAACGGGCCGTTATATTCTATTAATGCTTTTCAAACAAAGTTACAACGAATTCTTCATGTCGTGCATCCTGGGTTTGAACAGGATATGGCCGTTTAAAATATTTCCATCACGTTACATTACATAATTCTCAATAAATGTAATAGATTTTTAGTGTTGTAATTAGTTTAAAGTTTTAATCGGTCTCGCAGCTCTATTCTATATTTGCCTAACTCATTTAAGAGTGAGCAGACGACAGTATAAAAAACAGCAGACGACATGGCACCAATTTGGGGAGGACCAACTCCATTTCAACGGATCATACATCTTACATGATTATATATCTTAAACATCGTTTTTGATTTATTAGATTTGTTCCATTACATAAGCAAATAAACGGATAGTAATTGTACATCATGTTGCCAGTTATGATAATCCAGGATAACTGCACTGGATAAAGGGAATAAAGGTCACTTTTCCTTAACATTTTAAAAGCTTGCACATACCAAGGTAATTTATGTAGTTAAAGTGGATACCTCCCGAACTACCGTAATTTTATGTACTGAACGGATTAAAAATCTTAAATACGTCCTTCGAGGTCACATTTCACAGGACAAAAAATGCCTACCCATTTTATTTGAATATTAATAAGTTATTTGAATATTAATAAGTCCGGCATTAACCTGAATTATTCTTAATATCATAACTCGCAAGGTCTTGTGAAAGGATTAGGGAACGTATTTTAACTTAAAAACTTTATTGCTGATATCTAACTGAGAAGGAAATCTGCTGTATTTTTGTTATAAATTTATTCGAATCATAGTATATAATATTATGAGTAATGGTTTTTAAAATATTTCTTATCTGATGATGTGATAAAATTGTTTATGAGAAAGAAACCAGTTTTGAGGCGTAAAAATGAAGAGGACTTAAAGACTGTACATTTTTCACCGTTGAATAAAACTTAAATATATGGAATGATTAAAAAAAGCAGCCGCAACCTCGCTATTCAGCAAGTCTTGTTGTATGAAACAAATATTATATTGACTGCTAGTAAAATAGACATTTCAACTTTTAAATTTTAAACTGTAAAAGCATCTCTCGATTCGATTCGATTTAGGGTCTGATTATATAGCTTCATATTCGATTTGAGCTTCATATATGACTGTTAATGACTGTACATATTGTTTTAACTGAAATTAAGTTCAATCAAATGCAATCAAATGCGCCGTTTATTTTTGAAAACACAAAAATAGCAGAGAAATTCCCTCTTCCATTAGACATGTAACTTAAACTTCAGTTTGACTTCTGTGCTGCTGTTACTGCTAGGAAGGCATTCTTTTTATTTTACATACAAGCTATAAATAATTGCTTATTTTACGGATGTAGTATATCTAAGATTTTATCCAGTATGTATAATATACATACTGGATACAATGTTAGACCTCAACTTATGGCTCTGAACTTTTACTCACCGGCCTCACTATAGTTTAGCATGGTTTAAGTAGATAATTAAGCTAGTAGCTGAAAAAATAAGCATGAAACCTGTAGCTTAAAGTCCTTAAAGTCTGATAATAAAATTCTGGTGAAATACCGGACTTGGATATTAGAATTAGAATTAAATTTGGATATAAACTTATATTGCACCGAGTGCCCATTTCAGAAAATCACCGAGCACCAGCTCATGTATAATTTAGGCATTTAACCGTTATTAAACGCGCTCATGCCACAACGTTCCGAAAGATATCGCTCTGTCAGAATAAGAAATTACTGAAGGGCAGTCGTCACTCACCAAATCATGGTGCAAATAGTATTGGATCTCATAAGAGTTGCGAAAATAACAAGAGAGCTTTTCGAATATGTTGCAAGAAAATCTGACCGAAAGGATCGTGGCCGTACTGCAAAAAGAAAAGGTTCGCCATTTTGTTGTTTGCTGAGAATAAGAACCATATGCTTTTTGGACGAATTAGCGCTGGCGCGCGCGCCAAATTTATTAGTTGTATGTAAAAAGTTGATGCGGTAACACTTAAATCTGAACGTGAACTCTTCGTAGCGCGGATCACTGGAATTTTCATTTTGAAATAACTCGCATACCAATGCAGGAATTCATAATATGAAGGTGTAGGACTCATATCACATCATAACATATTGATGAGATAAATATTGGTATCAAAATTTTACCAAAAAACTCATCGGATGATGGTAAGAAAACGTTTTTACACATTGACAGTCAAAAACAAAAAAAAATAATATCAGTGTCAAATTAAGCGAGTGAAAATTGCTACCCGGTGGTTTTCGATGCTTCCGTATCCCCCGCACACTTTAAAAAGCATACAAACGATATTCGGACAAAAAAATTCTGTGCTCGCGCTTGGCGCTTATTACACTGACTAATAAGTAAGATATAAAATGCCCGTGGTCACAGTACAGATACAGCCAATTAAAATGTAGCTCGCACTGATCAAAACAACGTAATTACTACAAAAGTACAAAGTCGATCAAAATATCGCTCAAAAATCTAGAGTATTAACGCGTAATCTGTTATACTCTTAAAATATTTGTTTCAAGACCGTCAACAAGTTCAACTCGGCGTGCGTTTTGGTACAAATTTGAATTGCTTAAATATTAATCGTTTTAGCGTTTAAATGTAAAATTTTGATTTTGACCTCAAACTTTAATGTCGGCGCCACAATCGTTTCTTGTATTTTGATTATTTTCTTTGGGAATAGAACTTTGAGTACCTCAATCTTGTGCTATCCTCAGTGACCAGGACCCCGTAAAGTGTTAAGCTGTAAGATGGTCATTCTACTATTCTAGGAAAAAAAATCATCAAAACAGTGAAATTTGGGTCGCGGAAAACTAAAATTCGAATATGGCCTACTAGTAGGACATATTCAAAATTTTCATTGCATCAAAATTGTCTCCGGATATACTGGTTCCAGTACCTTGATCTTAAAATATATATCTGCTACAGCTGTATACAGTGTCCAGCTCTGTTATCCTTAAAAAGAAAACGTATTTTGTTCAGTGTTCAAGTTGTCAACAAGTTTAAAACATGCGAGACATTTTCGATTGATTTTTTCAGCTAATTAAATTATTTGGTCGACCATAATGTACGGGTAACTTTGTATCAATATTGGTTCACATTCATGTATGTGACCAGTAACAGGGTCTCAACTCCCATTTAGGGACAATTCCAGATTTAAAATTCAAAAATTACACCCTTAGAAAGTTAGAAGTTGTAACAATAGAATTGTTAACAATTAAGGTAAAATGTAATGTTACACTTCATTCCAACACACTGCGTGTATCAGATAACATTCCTCCAGATTTAATTATCATTATTATTGAACAGATCACCTCTCCCAATAGGCGCCGATTAATTAATATTGTGATCCATAGATTTCAGATGATTGAGATAGAAACTACAAAGTCCTTGGAGTGGTTCAACGAATTAGAGCCTACTTATAACAGCTCTTAACTTCGTATATACTGGAAAAGCGTTCAAATGTAACAGTTCTATTGTTCTCTTTTGTTTTTAAGAAGCTTAATTGATACGCTGTGGACCATTAGTCAACATTAACAAACTGTATGGTAATCGGTAGCCGTTATTGTTTCTAAATGCCCCTAGGTTAAATAATTGCAGATCAGAGGAGACTTGAGGAATTAAGGCAAAGCACTCTCACACAGTTCTCTAACACAGTTTTAACAAAAATTCCTGACATAACAACAAATTCCAACTTTAAGAACAATGGACTTCCATTGTTAATGTTTCTTACAACTGGAGGATCAATCCCCCTCGCCAGTTAGCATTTCTTGATAACGTTTCCGATATTGCAAATTGTATATGGGCAGAGTGCTCAGTGCATAGTAACACCTTTTTTAAAAACCTTTCAAAGCAAATCCTTTTTCTGCGAGCTACTAAAATTAGAAAGTCACTTAGAATACCAGTTTTGCGATCAACTTTCCAACAGCTAATATTAAGCAGTTTTTGAAACAACTGCGTTACAAATGGAAGATTAATTTCAAATAATTTTTCCGAAGCTCAAACATTGCTCAAACATTGCTCAAACATTGCTCAAAGTTCAAACATTGCTTCCATTTGGTAAGTCGAACCGGCCTTCTGGGTTGGGATTGATATGCCGTTGATATGTGTTTTAAAACCCTGTGGTTGATACACTGTACACTGCCCCTTTATTCACTTTGTGATTACGACATAAAGAATTAAAAATAATGTACGTGCTCGTGGTAATTTTACAAAACTGTTAATTTTATTCCACTTTTAACTAGAGGAATGAAACTTTAAAACGTCACATATGAGGCGGCGAGGTTACAATAATTCGTTCACAACATTAGAGGACGTCTCTGAAGCCGATACTGATGTAGAAGGTTAGTTCCTTCACAGCAGGGATTACAGTTACACTGATCTAAAAGATAAATTTGCTTGTCTGTACAATCTGCCGACTTAGAGTTATTCATCCCCATTTATAAGCTGACGATAGTAATAGTGTTAATCTGCTTGACAATTTAAGCCCTCAAATTTTGGAGCAAACTACATAATATGTATTAAAGTATTAACCGAAATATTGCCCATTCCAGAGCTCGAGTCAGTGGAAATGAGTGCGGATATGGAAGTAGAAGTGAGCCTGGAGGCGTCTCTGCCATCAGTGGAACTTAACCATACCTTTGAAACTCATGAACCAGAAACCCCGACAGGTATGAGGTCTATAAAGTAAATATTGATATAATTATAGAGGTACCCTTGAGATATAAAATAGGGGTTGTTAAGATTTCAATTAAAATATTGATTAGATCGAAGTTCAGTCAGAATTTGATAAAAACCTGTGCTAGTTTTCAATTTGTGCCCGATTTAAACGATACATTTCAGCTGATGATGTCCTCAGGGAACAACTCCAGGCTGCCGAAGAGAATTTTGTCAAAACAGTAGATGACATACACGTTGAAATTGTGGACTTTGTATTGCATGCAGCCACGGATATCAACAGTGAGAAAGTAGCAGCCATAGACAAGCTTTGCATGGAATTTGAAGAATCATCTGCCAAATTACAAGACAAAACACCAGCTAATTTTGGAGTAGACAAAGCAACAGAAAATGAAACAAAAGCTCTGGAAGACGCAACTTCTGAGGCTAAAGTCGAGACACTAAAATTGTTGAAACTGAAATTCCAGTTGATCAGGTTAAAGCACCTAATGTTGATATCGAAACACCAGATGGTAAAATCGAAACAACCAAACAAATCACTCCGTGAGGATATCTACGATTGTGTTGACCAACCTCCAAAATTGAAAAGCCAGCTGACAGATATGAAGTCTAAAGTAGAGACGCTCAAAGCTGAAGTCAAAGAAATGATGTTGGATATCGGAGAACCAGAAATACAAGTTGAAAAACCAGAAATGGAAGATGAAGAGTTTTTAGAACAGGCGAAGAAGTTTTTTGAAAAAGCTAACAAGCAGCTGATGTTAGCTGAACCAAATGTTGAAATTGCAGTTCCAGCTGTCGAAGAGTTTTTAAAACAGGCAAGAAATTTTTTTGAAGAGGCATATCAAGACCTGATGTTAGTCGAAATGAAAACACCAGCTGTTGAAACAGGAAAACAAGCTTGTGAACAGTTTCTAGAACAGGCAAAGAATTTCTATCAAGACCAAGAGGCATTTATAAATATGAGGAGACCAGTAGAATTCAAAACACTAACTGTCGAAGTTGAGGCACAAAATGTCCAAAACGAAGCACCAGATATGAAAATCGAAGCACCGGTTGTCGAATCAGAAACACCGACCATGGAAATCGAAAGACCAACAGAAGAAGTTGAAACACCAGCTATCGAAATCGAAGCACGAGCTTTAGAGATAAAGATTCCAATATGTCAGGTTGGATCGCCAGATTATGAAGTTTTAACACCAGATTCCGAAATCGGAGCACCGTTTGTCGAATTCGAAAGATCAGCTGAAGAAGTTGAAACATCAGCTGTCGAAATCGAAGCACCAGCTTTAGAGATAGAGATTCCAGCTGACCAGGTTGAATCGCCAGATGATGAAGTTTTAACACCAGATTCCGAAATCGGAGCACCGTTTGTCGAATTCGAAAGATCAGCTGAAGAAGTTGAAACATCAGCTGTCGAAATCGAAGCACCAGCTTTAGAGATAGAGATTCCAGCTGACCAGGTTGAATCGCCAGATGATGAAGTTTTAACATCAGATTCCGAAATCGGAGCACCGTTTGTCGAATTCGAAAGATCAGCTGAAGAAGTTGAAACACCAGCTGTCGAAATCGAAGCACCAGCTTTAGAGATAGAGATTCCAGCTGACCAGGTTGAATCGCCAGATGATGAAGTTTTAACATCAGATTCCGAAATCGGAGCACCGTTTGTCGAATTCGAAAGATCAGCTGAAGAAGTTGAAACACCAGCTGTCGAAATCGAAGCACCAGCTTTAGAGATAGAGATTCCAGCTGGTCAGGTTGAATCGCCAGATGATGAAGTTTTAACATCAGATTCCGAAATCGGAGCACCGTTTGTCGAATTTGAAAGACAAGCTGAAGAAGTTGAAACACCAGCTGTCGAAATCGAAGCACCAGCTTTAGAGATAGAAATTCCAGCTGACCAGGTTGAATCGCCAGATGATGAAGTTTTAACATCAGATTCCGAAATCGGAGCACCGTTTGTCGAATTTGAAAGATCAGCTGAAGAAGTTGAAACATCAGCTGTCGAAATCGAAGCACCAGCTTTAGAGATAGAGATTCCAGCTGACCAGGTTGAATCGCCAGATGATGAAGTTTTAACACCAGATTCCGAAATCGGAGCACCGTTTGTCGAATTCGAAAGATCAGCTGAAGAAGTTGAAACATCAGCTGTCGAAATCGAAGCACCAGCTTTAGAGATAGAGATTCCAGCTGACCAGGTTGAATCGCCAGATGATGAAGTTTTAACATCAGATTCCGAAATCGGAGCACCGTTTGTCGAATTCGAAAGATCAGCTGAAGAAGTTGAAACACCAGCTGTCGAAATCGAAGCACCAGCTTTAGAGATAGAGATTCCAGCTGACCAGGTTGAATCGCCAGATGATGAAGTTTTAACACCAGATTCCGAAATCGGAGCACCGTTTGTCGAATTTGAAAGACAAGCTGAAGAAGTTGAAACACCAGCTGTCGAAATCGAAGCACCAGCTTTAGAGATAGAGATTCCAGCTGGTCAGGTTAAATCGCCAGATGATGAAGTTTTAACACCAGATTCCGAAATCGGAGCACCGTTTGTCGAATTCGAAAGATCAGCAGAAGAAGTTGAAACATCAGCTGTTGAAGTCGAAGCACCAGCTTTAGAGATAGAGATTCCAGCTGATCAGGTTGCAAAAGTTGAAAGTGAAACGGCGAAAGCGATTTGGGCAGAGGGTCCGGGATTGATGGGCTGCTTTGTGGGTGATCGAGGCTACTTCCAAGTCTTCAACGAAGATGCTGGAAAAGGTACACTGAGTATGCGAGTTAAAAGACCCAATGCCAAATCCGACTCCGGGAAGTGGAAGGGCGCGAAACGGGTGATTTCCTGTGATTATAACCCAAAAATAGCTGGAGAATACACTATCCAAATTAAGTGGAAGCACGAACATATCAAGGGCAGTCCATTCATAATACAAGTCAATAAACGTCCAGAAATCGAAATCGAAGCACCAGATGTTGCAATTGAAGCCCCGGTTGTCGAATCAGAAAGACCAGCTGAGGAAGTTGAAACACCAGCTGAGGAAGTTGAAACACCAGCTGAGGAAGTTAAAACACCGGCTGAAGAAGTTGAAACACCGACTGAGGAAGTTGAAACACCTGATATTGCGATCGAAGCCTCGGTTGTCGAATCAGAAAGACCAGCTGAGGAAGTTGAAACACCGACTGAAGAAGTTGAAACACCAGCTGAGGAAGTTGAAACACCTGATATTGCGATCGAAGCCTCGGTTGTCGAATCAGAAACACCAGCTGAGGAAGTTGAAACACCGGCTGAGAAAGTTGAAACACCAGCTGAGGAAGTTGAAACACCTGATATTGCGATCGAAGCCTCGGTTGTCGAATCAGAAAGACCAGCTGATGAAGTTGAAACACCGGCTGAAGAAGTTGAAACACCAGCTGAGCAAGTTGAAACACCTGATATTGCGATCGAAGCCCCGGTTGTCGAATCAGAAAGACCAGCTGAGGAAGTTGAAACACCGGCTGAAGAAGTTGAAACATCAGTTGTTGGAATTGAAACACCAGCTGCCGAAAACGAAATGCAAGAAGCGATATGGGCAAAAGGTCCAGGCTTGATAAACTGTTTTGTGGGAGATAAGGGTGACTTCAAAGTTTTCACGCAAAATGCAGGACACGGTATTCTAAGTGTGGAAGTGAAGGGACCCAGGGGTAAATATCAAGTAAGTAAGTGGAAGGGAGCTAAACAAACCGTAACTTATAGATACAACCCAGAGGCGGCCGGAAAGTACACTATCAACATCAAGTGGGAGGAAGAACATATCAAGGGTAGTCCATTCAGGATAAAAGCCAGAAAAGGTCCAGCAATCAAAACAGAAACACCAGTACTTGAAATCGAAGCACCAGCAATTGAATTAGAAAAACCGGCTGTCGAAATCGATGGATCAGTTGTTGAATCAGAAAGAGCAACTATGGAAACTGAAAAACCAGCTGTGGAAGTTGAAACACCAGCTGCCGAAATCGAAACGTTGGAGGCGATAACGGCAAAGGGTCCGGGCTTGATAGACTGTTTTGTGGGAGATAAGGGCGACTTCGAAGTTATCACCAAAGATGCAGGACATGGTACATTAACTGTGCAAGTGAATGGACCCAGAGGTAAATATCAAGTAATAAAGTGGAGAGGAGCAAAACGGACAGTAACCTATAGATACAACCCAGAAGTAGCTGGAAAGTACACTATTAACATCAAGTGGGAGGAAGAACATATCGTAGGCAGTCCATTTAAGGTAAAAGTCAGGAAACGTTTATCAATAAAAACCACCGAAACACAAAACTTGATATGGGCAGAAGGTTCGGGCTTAATGGACTGTTTTGTGGGTGATCCAGGTGACTTAAAGATCTTTAACAGACAACCTGGACAAGGTACAATAAGTGTGCGAGTGAAGGGACCCAGAGCCAGACCTCAAGTAATTAAGTGGAAGGAAGCGAAACAGACCATTACCTGCAAATACAGTCCAAAAGTAGCGGGAAAGTACGACATCAATATCAAGTGGGAAGAAGAACATATCATAGGCAGTCCATTCAAGATAAAAGTCAGGAAACGTTCAGCAAACGAAATCGAAACACCAGCTGTTGAAGTTGAAACACCAGCTGTGGAAGTTGAAACACCAGCTGTGGAAGTTGAAACGCCAGCTGTCGAAATTGAGGCACCAGCTGTGGAAATCGAGGCACCAGCTGTGGAAGTTGAAGCACCCTCTGTAGAAGTTGAAACACCAGCTTTCGAAATTGAAGCTTCAGCTGTGAAAGTTGAAACACCAGCCATCGAAATCGAAGCACCCTCTGTAGAAGTTGAAACACCAGCTTTTGAAATCGAAGCACCAGCTTTGGAAGTTGAAACACCAGCTTTTGAAGTTGAAACACCAGCTATCGAACTCGAAGCAGCAGTTGTGGAAGTTGAAATACCAGCTTTTGAAATTGAAAAATCAGCTATCGAAATCGAAGGACCAGCTGTTGAGATTGAAACACAAGCTGTAGAAATCGAGGCACCAGCTGTGGAAGTTGAAACACCAGCTATCGAAATCGAAGCAGCAGCTGAGGAAATTGAAACACCAGCTATCGAAATCGAAGCACTAGCTGTAGAAGTTAAAACACCAGCTATCGAAATCGAGGCACCAGCGGTTCAGATTGAAACACCAGCCATCGAAATCGAAGCACTAGCTGTAGAAGTTGAAACACCAGCTATCGAAATCGAGGCACCAGCGGTTGAGATTGAAACACCAGCCCTCGAAATCGAAGCACCTTCTGTAGACGTTGAAACACCAGATGTAGAAATCGAAGCACCAGCTGTAGAAGTTGAAACGCCAGCTATCGAAATCGAGGCACTAGCTGTAGAAGTTGAAACGCCAGCTATCGAAATCGAGGCACCAGCTGTTGAGATTGAAACACCAGCCATCGAAATCGAAGCAACAGCTGTTGAGATTGAAACACCAGCTATCGAAATCGAAACACCTGCTGTGGAAGTTGAAACATCAGCTATCGAAATCGAAGCAGCAGCTGTTGAGATTGAAACACCAGCCATCGAAATCGAAGCACTATCTGTAGAAGTTGAAACACCAGCTATCGAAATCGAGGCACCAGTGGTTGAGATTGAAACACCAGCCATCGAAATCGAAGCACCTTCTGTAGACATTGAAACGCTAGATGTAGAAATCGAAGCACCAGCTGTAAAAGTTGAAACGCCAGCTATCGAAATCGAGGCACCAGCTGTAGAAGTTGAAACGCCAGCTATCGAAATCGAGGCACCAGCTGTTGAGATTGAAACACCAGTCATAGAAATCAAAGCAGCAGCTATGGAAATTGAAACACCAGCTGTAGAAATCGAAGCACCAGCTGTGGAAGTTGAAACACCAGCTATCGAAATCGGGGCACTAGCTGTTGAGATTGAAACACCAGCTATCGAAATCGAAGCACCAGCTGTAGAAGTTGAAACGCCAGCTTTCGATATCAAAGCAGCAGCTATCGAACTCGAAGCACCAGCTGCTGAAGTTGAAACACCGGCAATCGAAATAGAGGCACCAGCTGTTGAAGTTGAAACACCAGCATTCGAAATCGATGCACCAGCTGTTGAGATCGAAGCACCAGCTATCGAAATCGTGGCACCAGCTGTTGAGATTGAAACAACAGTCATCGAAATTGAAGCAGCAGCTATGGAAATTGAAACACCAGCTGTAGAAATCGAAGCACCAGCTGTGGAAGTTGAAACACCAGCTATCGAAATCGGGGCACTAGCTGTTGAGATTGAAACAACAGCTATAGAAATCGAAGCACCAGCTGCAGAAGTTCAAACACCAGCTTTAGATATCGAAGCAGTAGCTATCGAACTCGAAGCACCAGCTGTTGAAGTTGAAACACCAGCTATAGAAATCGATGCACCAGCTGTTGAGATTGAAACACCAGCTATCGAAATCGAAGCACCAGCTGCTGAAGTTGAAACACCAGCTTTCAAAATTGCAACTCCAGCTGTGGAAGTTGAAACACCAGCTATCGAAATCGAGGCACCAGCTGTAGAAGTTGAAACACCAGCTTTCGAAATCAAAGCAGCAGCTATTGAACTCGAAGCACCAGTTGTTGAAGTTGAAACACCAGTTGTAGAAATTGAAGCACCCTCTGCAGAAATCGAAGCTCCAGCTATCGAAATCGAGGCACTAGCTGTAGAAATCAAAATTTTGGCTGACCAGGCTTACGATTAGTCTTTACAGCTGTTACAGTACATAATTGTGCCATTAGAGCATTAGGATTTTAGGACTGAACTTATTGAATAATTTGTATGATACTTGATCTTAATTTAATTGCTTCGCGGGAAACCAGATTTTGTGAATACGTTATTTACATTAAATGTTTGTGAATAGTGGACCTTGAGGGTGAAAATAACAAGTACAAATATTGATAAACAGACTGGTATTTTTAGTTCGTTTATAATTTCTTCCGTTTTTCTTGATGCTTAATTATTTTATGCGATTTACACTTTATTACTCCAAAGGTTTTTCGTAATGATTGCAATCTTAGTGAAAGTGAGTGGTGAAATTAGGTGAAATTTCTCTTAATGTCAGATTATTTACCTTAATTGTTTATCGTCTTCTTATTTTTGAGAAAGTTTATTGTTTATTGCATTTAGATAAAAATATTGTATTATTGTTTGAAAAGAAAAAGTAAAACACCTTTTCACGTCACTTCACAACAGCTGAAATTATTTTAACGTGGCCTTCAAAATAGGTCACTATTGCGTTCTCTCCATCACGCAGGTCTCACAAAAAGTAGTTCTATTAGCTCATTAGCTATTCAGTGAAACGGCAACTCATTCTATCAAGTTTTAAACTAATTTCACAACTACAATTAAATAGATTTATTGAGGACGTTACAGAAGGAATGTATTTAATGTAATTATGGAGGAGTCCTAACTCTCCTCACGTCCGTAAATGGAGTTTTCTTTGTATCATATCTGTCGTTAAGGGTCGCTTATATTAGAGTTTATAAACGAAGGGATATTGATTTGGGGGTGTGGCAGGGAGGAAGGAGGGGACTTTTTTGTTTGTTTATTAAGTAGGCACATACTCTCAAACTTTATCGTAATATTTTGAATATGGTAGAAAAAAGTAGGTACTAGGTAAGGATAGAAAAGTTCTTTATAAAGAGGTGGTTCATAGTGAAAATCAGCGGTTTTTACCTGGTCGGTAGACACCATACACTTCAACCTCTGCCAGATTGACCTCTCCTACATACCCCTCTTTTCTTATTTCAATCTTATCACCAACTCCTTCTTTGAAAAATTCGTAGCATGGTTTTTCTTCCACTATTTTTCCAACGCTAATCTTTGGTCCGTCCTTATTCACAATGAAAACATAAAATCCCACAATTCTTTCTTTACAGCAGTCCAACCTATTGATCAGTCTGATAGCGGATATTCTGGTTGTGAAAGGTAGGAAGATCGTTATGCTGAATCCATTAGGATGACCTTTTCCCTCTGTAAAAGTATTGTACTTTCCATCGTAGAGGTTGGTGCTTGGATAGCTAGGGTTTTCGGTTGTCATTTCAATGCTCTTTATTGCGACATCTGTTGTGAAGGGAAATTTATATTAGGGCTTATATTGACAGAAATGGTATTGAGTTGGGGAGGGGCACTTTTTTGTCTGTTTATTAAGTGGGCATATGCTCTCAAATTTTATCGTAATATTTTGAAAAATGGAAAACTCCGGTAGGGTAAGAAGATAAATATTCGTGAAACATCCACTAGTAGGGTTAGGATGTCACTGTAACATCCACTAGTAGGGTTAGGATGTCACTGTCACGAAATGGATTGTCTGTGGTATAACAGTTGCAAAGTTCTTTATAAAGAGGTGGTTCATAGTGAAAATCAGCGGGTTTTACCTGGTCGGTAGACACCGTACACTTCAACCTCTGCCAGATTGACCTCTCCTACATACCCCTCTTTTCTTATCTCAATCTTATCACCATCTCCTTCTTTGAAAAATTCGTAGTATGATTTTTCTTCCACTATTTTTCCAACGCTAATCTTTGGTCCGTCCTTATTCACAATGAAAACATAAAATCCCACAATTCTTTCTTTACAGCAGTCCAACCTATTGATCAGTCTGATAGCGGATATTCTGGTTGTGAAAGGTAGGAAGATCGTTATGCTGAATCCATTAGGATGACCTATCCCCTGTGCAAAACTATCGTAGTTTCCATCGTAGAGGTTGGTGACCGGATAGCTAGCGTCTTCGGTTGTCATTTCAATGCTCTTTATAACAATACGATCTGAAAATTGACAATTATTTATATTGAAATCCAGCTTACACCTGGTAAAACTTTTTAGGTGCCTTCAGAAGTGTATCTTAATTTGCGCTTAAATTAATTTAAGTTGCACTAATTGAGGAGGTGTTCTAGCAAAATTGTAAAAATGTCGCTCCGGTTTATTTCTCAGAATCGTAAGCAAAAGTCGCCCCGATTTATTTCTAAGAATTGTAAGCAAATGTCGCGAAATTGTAACATTTGCGCACGGACCTAACTTTTGCACCATTTTGTATTTGAACTGGGGCGACATTCGCTTACAATTCTGAGAAGAAAACATCTACTGCACTAACTATAAAGTAGCTTGCAGTACATCGTGCAAAGGATTTAGCCTTAGGTTCATCATCTATCGACTATCAATGATGAACTAGCCAGTTTCTATCCATTTTTTCCCGATCATTCATATCCTTATATTATGATTATCGAACAAAATTGAGAATATTTTCTTTTTTGGAAGTCAAAAAGGTTGGTTGTCAATACGATTAAAATTACTCACTGCTGTAGTCAATGCAGGTGTCACATGAGCAATGTCCTGCTGTATTCCCGCACCATCCCCCTGGATTACAGCAAGAAGAACCTTCTGGTTGGTCAGGATTGCACTGAGCTGGAGTTCCGTCAGGGAGAGGGTTATCAGGTCCGCATTTAATGTCATCTCTCCACATCTTTTCTCCTGTAATCAGAGTTTTGAAAAAACAAGAATTTCGCCGCATTTAATCCACGCACGATAAAATATACCTATACGGTATACCATTATATTATTGCATTATATTAAATGCACTTTATAGTTTATATGCAATACGTATGTTGAATTATGTTGAACTCCGTGTTACACAGAGCTATTATAATCTAAAGCAACACACTGAGTGTTACACACTCTTACACTCTAAAGACTCATCGATAAAACCCGGGTAAAGACGAAAGGCTGTGATCAGGGATCAGGGCACGTTTTGATTAACAGAGATGAGAGGGAGCAGCAGAGTTGCTTTAGTAAAGCCCTGATCACAGCCTTTCGTCTTTACTCGGGTTTTATCGATGAGTCTTATGAATGTTGTAGAAGGTGATTAGGTTGAAAGTCTATTGCTCGCTTCTCTTACGCAGTGGTGTAACGTTACCTGTTGCCCCCCCCCCCCACCCGCCGAAAATTCGCCCCCATGTTGGCGCTCCTTCCCCTTTTGGCGCCCCTCCCTAAAATTGAACAAATTAGGTGATTTTAGACGATACGCTTAGCTAGTAAAATCTCTGAAAAAGTGTGTTTCTAGAACAAAACGCTCAGTTTTGCTAGTACCTCAGTTAAGTTTTTCAAAATTGTCCCACACTAAAATGCAGTAAGAGACAACGAAGGGGACAATTAAAATACAGTAGGTATATGTACTGATGAACATTTTCCGATTTAATTATCGTGGGACAAAACGTTCCAGTAAACAGAAACATAAACAAACAGTAAATTAAACCTACAAATGCTAAACATTACAATTAGAAATCTTTAAAGGTTTTTCTATGTCATCCATTGATCGTAATTAAGGTAACACAGCTGCACCCAGAAAATTCAGAGATTAGAACTAAGTGTGATAATTATAACCATCTTATAAAATTTCTGATTGTTATCAATCATTAAGAAATTATACCTTAATTATTAGGCCTAGATTCTTACCTTGACACATGTCGACATCATTGAGAAGAATAATCACGACCATCATAGCATTGCACGGATGGATGAAGTTGTTGAGAAGCTTTTTCTTCACTTTGGCACGCGTGCGCGGAGAAAGGCGGCGATCCCTCAATTTTGTAGGTGGAATCATTCGGTTGTTCAATGTTACCTTAGCTGTTCGAGAGCATGCAAAACAAAACTGTTGGATAGTTTAGTTAGGATCTATAGCCTATACTCTAAAGCAACAGTTGACATTTTCGATAGGTCATTAAATGCGGAATATGATTTAAAAAAAGATAACGCTAAAAGGATTTTAAATGACGAAGTTATCTATATCAAGCAATTTTTTTCTCGTTAGCGAAATTAATTGCATTCTCATGTGATAGCGTGCTACGAGACAGTAGAAATGATAAAAGAGTCTTGCTGCACTGTTGTTCTATTTTTATTCCATTTCTTTGGAGTTGGACCTAGTTTAGTGTTTTCGGCGTAATAAGCCTCTAACAGCCGAAAGGATTATGTGATTAAAGGAGGAAGCCGAGAATCTTTATTTGTGCGTCTGTGTGAACAGGAAGGTGTATATCATTGTTTTTAAAGGATTGCGGCGCAATAAGCCTCTAACAGCCGAAAGGATTATGTGATTAAAGGAGGAAGCCGAGAATCTTTGTTTGTGCGTCTGTGTGAACAGGAAGGTGTATAACTGAGTAAATTACTACTAGATGGATGAGACGGCACTCGGCAATTATGGAACTTAATGTAGGACTCAAAGTTATAAAAGGTTACGATTATTATGTGCTGCAAGGTATAAGCGATAACCATGTTTACCCACTAAGAGCAACCCAGAAGGCTTGAAGGTGACGTACTGTGAGGGATGGTTCGCAATTTATCAACGATTGTAAGTGTCAATTACTATTCATGATTCTACCCATAATTAATGATACAGGCTGCTTATAGTTATAACTGCTTGAAGACGTCCTTAAAGAGGTCTGGTCAATTTATCAGTGGTTAGGAATAGGGGTAATATACATAATTACAAAATGATAATGGATACTTTGAGTTTATACACAGAATGTTCTGATTTGCCCATTACAGGGTCTGTCAGCTATAACAATTCTTTATCAAAGTATCAATTATTATTCATGATGATCCCCTTAATCAATAATGCAGTCTCCAACAGGCTGCTCTTAACGGTACACATACGGAAGTTCGACACGTACGGAAGTTCGACAAACCCTAAAGTTCGACTTTTTCGAACTTTGGTGCGCTACTTGGACTATAGTTCGACACGCACTGAAGATCGACAAGGCTGTCGAATCTCAGTACGCTACCTGAACAGGTTGTACTAAAGTTCGACGAGAGAACTGCGATTGGGTAGATAAGATGAATATTCTAATTTAAATCAGCTTTCAACTTATTTCATAACTTTTCATGACAGATTTTCAACAATTATTATGATAATAAAGTTTGATATTATCAAGATGTTAATATAAACTGTACATAATATAAATAATATTCAAAGTCAACAAGCAACCATGGATCACATTTCAAATAATCCGTCCTTTCGAAGTCATCATGAAACAGGATAATGTTGTTCAGCCTCCTGGAGACGTCCTTAGATAATAAAGAGGTCAAACAATTTACCGGTGGTTAGGGGTGCTGTTGAGTCGGTAATTTTAACGACATAACGGACACTTTAAGTTTTTGCACGGATAACAAACGGGTAACACACGGGTAACCTACAGTAAACAGTAGTCTATAAAAGTATAAAGGCTACTTACTATTTTAAGGATTGGATATATTAGGTTGAACATATCAGTGACCATAAATTGATAGTGTGATCCATGGATTTCTGTTAATTGACTCCCTCACTCGAGCGAAAAACCTCATTTAAAACAACACTTTCCCTTCACACAGACCTCATTAACTTTCTGACAGAGCTTCAAATACTTTGTTTGAGAAACTCAATAGAAACTATGTGGACCATGAGTCAACATTAACAAACTGTATGTTAATTGGTAATCGCTATTGTTACTTCTTCTCCTGAACAAACAATTACAGATCAGAGGAGACTTGAGGAATTGCAGAGAGAGAAAGAAATGTAACACAACTTTTACAAGAATTCCTGACAACAGATTCCAGCTATAAGAACAATAGGCCCCCATTAACAGTACCCTTTCTTGAAGATTAATCCTCTCAGTGGCAGTGGCGTGATATCGTTTTCAATGTAGTAAATTTTATATGTGAAAAATGCAGTTTAAGATATGATTTTCTTGAAAAACTTTCAAACAAAATTCTTTTTATTTTTGTGAGCTTTTATTTGAAATCCGCGAATAACGCTCAACATTGTTGTATATTGTAGCAGTGTATATTGTACTGTATATTGTAGTAGTGGTACTAATATCAGCATCAGTAGCACTAGATACTTAAATAGCAATTCACCACACACGCCCTCTAGTTGGCCTATTATACCTGTTAACAGGTAACACACACACAAAAGAATGTATGTGCGTTTTGGTACTTTTACTTACGTGCTTTTTGGTAATTATACTTTTATTTGATTCAATTTCGCCCAGAAGAATGAAACTATAAACTGTCAAATATGGGGCGTCAAACTTACACTGAAGACGCAGAAGTGACGGTGGATGTTAAAGCACAAGCATCTAAAGATGAAGACAGCTATAAATCGAATGATTATGAAGAAGAAATCTCAGCTCTGGAAGAATTTATGGCGGGAATTCAAGAGGCTTTTGAATCACTGATACAATCATCAGAAGATGGAAGTAGCAGTAGTAGTAGCAGTAGTAGTAGTAGTAGTAGTAGTAGTGACGAGGAGGAGTTCTTAGAACAGGCATCGAAGTATTTTATTGAGGCTTATGATGAACTGAACTGTATCGGATTACTGATGAGTGATACGGACTCGTCTGGTATGGAATCGCCTACAGCTTTTGAAAAATTTGAAAATTCGGTTATCAAAGTGGAAGTGTCATCAGGGAAAGCTGAAACACCGACTCACGAATTTGAAAATTCAGTTATCGATGTGGAAATATCATCAGAGGAAGGAGAAACACCATCTTACGAATTTGAAAATTCAGTTATCGAAGTGGAAGACGAAGATGTCCAATTGAAAACATTACCTATTCCGATCAAAGTTATTTCTGTTGAAATCGAAGCCCCAGAAGTCGAAATCGAAGCACCAGCTGTCGAAATCGAAGAACCAGGTGTCGAAATCGAGGAACCAGCTTTTGAAATCGAAGCCCCAGAAGTCGAAATCGTAGCACTAGCTGTCGAAATCGAAGGACCAGGTGTCGAAATCGAAGCACCAGCTTTTCAAATAGAGGCACCGGTAGTCGAATTGGAAACACCTTCCATTGGATTCGAAGGACCAGCTGTGGAAGTAGAAGCACCAGCTTTCGAAATTGAAGCTCCAGCTATGAAAATTGAAACACCAGCCATCGAAATCGAAGCACCCTCTGTAGAAGTCGAAACACCAGCTTTTGAAATCGAAGCACCAGCTTTGGAAGTTGAAACACCAGAAATCGAAATCGAATCACCAGCTGTAGAACTAGAAGTTGAAACACCAGCTTTTGAAATCGACGCACCAGCTGTAGAACTAGAAGTTGAAAAACAAAAAACCGAAGAAAATGAAGTCATTGAAACGGAAGCAGAAGTCGAAATATCAGCAAATAAAGAGTTTCTTCCACAGGTTAGAACGTTCTTCCAAGAGCTACTGGATTTCGAAGAACCAGATGTCGAAATTGAAGAACCAGCTGGCGAAATCGAAGAAAATGCTTTTATTGAAGCGGAAGCACCAGCTGTCGAAATAGAAGAACCAGCTCTTGAAATCGAAGCACCAGCTGTCGAAATCGAAGAAAATGCTTTTATTGAAGCGGAAGCACCAGTTGTCGAAATAGAAGAACCAGCTCTCGAAATCGAAGCACCAGCTGTCGAAATAGAAGCACCAGTAGTCGAATTCGAAGAGTCAGTCATACAAATCGAAAGTCCATCTGACCAGGCTGAAACACCATATGCTGAAACCGAAGCGATAAGAGCAGAGGGTCCGGGGTTGATAGACTGTTTTGTTGGTGATCAGGGCGACTTTCAAGTCTTCAACAGAAATGCTATACGCGGGACACTTAGTGTACGGGTGAAGAGACCCAAAGCCAAATCTCAAGTAGGTAAATGGAAGGGAGGAAAACGGACTGTAAACTGTAGATACAACCCAGAAGTAGCTGGAAAGTACATTATCATAATCAAGTGGGACTATCACCATATCAAGGGCAGTCCATTCACGTTACAAGTTAGAAATCGTCCAGAAATCGAAACAACAACTGTTGAAATTGAAGCACCAGCAATAGAATTCGGATCGCCAACTGTTGAGGCTGAAGAACCAGCTGTAGAAAGCGACATTTCCGCTGACCAAGTTAAAACATCAGATGTTGAAATCGAATCTCTAATCGAAACGCCGTGGCCAGTATGGCCATGGGCAGAGGGTCCGGGCTTGATGGACTGTTTTGTGGGTGATCTGGTTGACTTCCAAGTCTTCAAAGAACAAGCTGGACGCGGCACACTAAGTGTGAGAATTAAGGGACCCAATGCCAAATCTCAAGTAAATATATGGAAGGGACCGAAACGGACCGTCACCTGTAGATACAGCCCAGAAGTAGCTGGAAAGTACACCATCAACATCAAGTGGAAGGACGAACACATCATGGGCAGTCCATTCAACATAAAAGTCAGAAAACACCCAGCAATAGACAGCGGAACAACAGTTGCCGAAATCGAAGCTCCAGCAATGGAATTCCAATCGCCAACAGTTGAAGCTGATACATCACCTGAAGAAATCGAAATTCCAACGGACCAGATTGAAACCCAAGATGTTGAAATCGAAAAACCAGCAATTGAATTCAAAACGCCAGCTGTCGAAATCGATACACTCGATGGTGAACTCAAAACACCACCCGTTGAAGTGGAACCTCCAGCGTCCGGGATCAAAAAAACGTCTCTTAAAAGAAAGGCCTCTGCACGAATTTCACGATTGTTTCGACCAGCTGCCAAAATTGAGCTGCCAGCTGACGAAGATGGAACACCAGCTGTTGAAGTGGAAGCCCCTGAAATTGAATTGGAATCTCCAACTTTTGAAGTTGAAGCTTCTGTAGATGGACAAATCGAAGAACCAAAAATGGACATTTCAGCTGAGAAGATCGAGACGCCGGATGTTGAAATTGAATCACCAGATGTTGAACTCGAAACACCAAATGTTACAGTCGAAGTGGAGTCTTCAGCTCCTGAAATCGAAACGACACCTATCAAAAGAAAGAAATCAGGAAGATTCTCACGATTGTTTCGACCAGCCGCCAAAATTGAACTGCCAGCTGACGAAGTTGAAACACCAGCTTTGGAAATCGATTCACCAGTAATTGGATCACCAACTGTTGAAGCTAATGGACCAGCTGCAGAAATTGAAATTTCAGCTGACCAGATTAAAACTGCAAAGGTTGAAGTCGCCATTTCAAATGTTGAACTAGAAACCCCAGCCGTCGAAGTAGAGCCAACAGTCTCCGGAATCAAGAAAACATCTCTCAAAAGAAAGAAATCGGGACGATTTTCACGATTATTTCGACCAGCCGCCAAAATTGAATTGCCAGCTGACGAACTTGAAACACCAGCTCTCGAAATCGATTCACCAGTAATCGAATTGGAATCACCAACTGTTGAAGCTAATGGACCAGCTGCAGAAATTGAAATTTCAGCTGACCAGATTAAAACTGCAAAGGTTGAAGTCGCCATTTCAGATGTTGAACTAGAAACCCCAGCCGTCGAAGTAGAGCCAACAGTCTCCGGAATCAAGAAAACATCTCTCAAAAGAAAAGCTTCTGCAAGAATGTCAAAATTGTTTCGACCAGCTGCTAAAACTAACAAACCAGCTGACAAACTTGAAACACCAACCGTTGAACTCGAAGCACCAGCAATCGAATTGGAATCTGCAATTGTTGAAGCTGAAGCACCAGCTGCAGAAATCGTAATTTCAGCTGAGCAGGTTGTTGAACTCGAAACCCCAGTCGTCGAAGTGGAACCACCATCTTCTGGAAACAAAAGAACATCCCTTAAAAAAAATAAATCGGGACGATTTTCACGATTGTTTCGACCAGCCGCTAAAATTGAAGTGTCAGCTGACAAAGATGGATCACCAGCTGTTGAAATCGAAGCACCAGAAATCGAATTGGAATCACCAATTGTTAAAGCTGAAGTACCAGCTGCAGAAATTTAAATTTCAGTTCACTAGTTTGAAACGCCAGATGTTGAAATGGAGAAGTTGATATAATGTCTGACAATAGACCAGACCTGAGACATGCAGTGAGAAAGTGTCAAATATAAAAAATTTCGATATAAAACCCTCTTTTGTTCTTATCTGATTAGTGACGACTCACGATTGTGGTCGTAAAAAACAATTAAGCGAACACACAATTAGTTTGAATAATGATTTATTTCTCTACGCAATACCAAATTAGTGAATGAATTATGGACGGAATTTTTGTGATTAGTGAAATATGAGGCTAAAAATAACAATAATCTTTAAAGTAATGTCTAGATTAAATTTTAGTAATATTACTAAATATTATATTATTTATTGCATGAAGCTTTTATTGTTAACGCAATCTTGGTTGTTTGTGGTGAAAATTGTCAAATCATTTAAAATCTCTTACTATCTTCTTTTTTTAGAAACTCAAAATGTTATTGTTAATAATAATTGTATTTAGAAACAAAATCTCATATTTTTATTCGAAAATAATTAAAAAGTGAAACACTTGCAGTTAGAGTTGGCAAAATTTGGGATTATGATTTTATTTTTATCACAAGTTTCGAAATTAACGTCCCTCAAGAGTCAAGACTAAAAACACATTTTTTCTTTCTGTCGTCTTGGCTCAGTTTAACTATTATAACACACATAACCCCGGCATGCGCAGGGATTATATTTCAATTTTTCCCGCGACGCGCGGGAAAAATTTATAATAATTTCGAGTGTGAAGCACGAGGGATTATTATGAAAATAACCCCGACGTGCTTTAGCACGAGGGGTTATTTTAATATAACTTAAGCGTGCCGGTGTTATGTGTTATAAACCCCTCCGGGTTAGTGCTAGGACCAACAAATTTGACATTTTACTCTTAATTCTAGCTATATGAGATCATTATGGAAAATATGAAATGGAATTGGGGACTACCAAATAAATACAACTAAGGTACTATGACTTTTGAAATTGGGGTTATATCTAAACATTATTCCTCAGTCAGAACGTTGAATGAATATGAATATCGATAAGGGGCGTCGAGTTAAGCCTGGCAAGCAATAAAAGCTAATAATGATATCGTGTCATGAAGTTCATCAAAGTAGACGACTATAATACATGGCTTATATCAAACACGACAAAATTAACCGAACCGGACAAAATCAAATGTAACCGTCGAGACAAGTTTTGGAACTGGTCCAATTAATGTAAGGGTTTAAGTAATGTAAGCAGTGTGCTGGAGTTTTGCCAGCGCCTGCAATTAGACCGATAAGTAGATCGAGTGTATTTATAGTTCTTACGTTAAGCCATAGGTCACGTGACATTTTTTACCAATGCGCGTCGCAGTAGTTAGTCACGTGATGCACGTCATCAAAACACGTGACAGTGCGCGGTTGAAATTCTCATGGAATCTCAAAACAAAACAAATCTTGTTGAGCCAAATTAGCGGGGCGGGATTATAAAAGCTGTGCCGGGGTTATTTATTCAGCGGGAAAAAACTAACAGCGTGAGCCGGGATTATGAGAATCTATTTAGCGGGAGCCGGGATTATCAGAATCTTATTCTATCCCGGAGGGGTTTATAACGGAAACACCTGGATCAATAATTTAACCGCGAATTATTTCACTCCCCAAATGTGAAATCAACACTGAGCACTGAGCAGCCCAAATGGAAATTCTTCCCTCTGTCCAATTTAAGAATTTATGGAAATGAGAGCATACCAAGTAATGATTCACACAAAAATCGTCGATAATCAGATTTCCAATTTGGGATTATTTAAAGAAATATAGTGTCGTGTTGGGAAAATGTCGAGTTACTTATAGTGAGACCAAACCAACTATATTTACCTCAATTCTCTAGTCTTTTCAGACGCAGAATCTTCTACACTCTCTGACTTCTTCTGATGTCTGGGACTTACGACCCCAGATGTAGCTTTCAACGACGTTTTAAGGGCCCAACGTTCAGCTGTTCATCAGGGTTAAACTGGGCAGGGTCTTTCGGCCAGCTGCCAGTTGTCACTCCAGGTCTTGTTGTAGCGACTAAGCCAGATAGTGTAGGAACCTTTCAGGGACACCACCGCTGTTGTGTTAAGTGCCCTCTTCTTCTTTGCCCGGGTGATGTTAAGGAAGTTGAAAATTCGGGGTAATGTGTGGTGGTAGAATCCACGACATCCAACTTCTACTGTAAGGAGATATCCTTCCCAGCCTGCGGTCTCGATCTCCACCATTAGCTCTTCGTATCTCTTCTCTTTCCGGGATCTCTGGTCCTCAAAGTTCTCCTCGTTTCCACAGGTCAGCTCTATCAGGATGACTTTCCTGAGTGTGTTAGAGTATATTACCACATCAGGTCTGAGAGCTGTGTTGACGATATGTTGGGGGAATTGTCTTGTCCTTTCGTCCTCATCAAACACTAGTTTCCAGTCGTTACCTTCCTCTAGAAGATGGGGTTCTTCTGTAAGCCGTACTTCGGGTTTCCTGTAGGTTCCTTTTCCGGATACGAACTTCCTCCACTCTCTCTTTACTTCTGTCTTTGGGGTAGCACTGTTTATCTCCCTCAGCTTCTCTGCAATTGGTTGCACGATTACCCTGAGCACCTGATCATGTCTCCAATTGTATCTTCCTTGTTTAAGCGACACTGGGCAACACGTTAGAATGTGCTTTAGGTTGCACTGCTGACGCCCACAAAGGGGACAGTTGTTCGTGGAGCTGTAGTTCCAAAGCTGGAGGTTGCTAGGTGTACTTGCAACGTCGTGGATGGCATTTAGGTGGAACTTTGTCAGCTCGGGGCTCAAGGTATACAGCAGGCTTTGCCAGCCAGTGTCTAGCTGCATGGTGTTCTCCCAGGTTAGAAACTTTCCTTGGACTCTCTTATCGTATAGAGTTTGAAGGAGCTCCTCTTCTTTCAGAGACTTAAGTATCTCCACCAGTTGCTCCTTTTTGTTCTTCTTCCTCCTCTGATCACCGAATCCAATACCGGCTCCTTCCCTGGTCTGCACGTAGCCAATCAGTTCTTTGAAGTAGAGGTCTCTCTCCCTATTAGTCAGCTCCTTGGTGTAGTCCCATCTCTTCTTGTCTCTGTTGGTGTTTTCTCTGTACTCGAAAACCTCCCTCACTTTGGGGTCAACTGATGTCTTCAGCATATAGGCCTTGGACACCTGTAGACATTTGTACAGGTTGGAGATCTACTTTAACGATAGTCCAAAGTGGTCTTTTGATCTGTACAGCACACTATTCGATATGGAAGTAGTAACTCCAAGCCATTTCTTCAAGTATCTGGTACAAAGAGCCTCTAGTGTCTGGATGAATGATACTGGGAGGTTGTATATCATAATATTCCACTGTACTTTGCTAGTTAGCATGTGGTTGTAGATCCAGCACTTGCTTGGTCCAGAGAGCTCCGCCATGTCTACTTTTTCCAGCTGGCCTGAAAGTTGAGTGGTGATTAGCTCTCTCGTCTCATCTTGGCCCAGGTTGACGTAAATCCAGTGACCAAGGAACTTTATCGGTGTGTCACCAAGGTACGCTACTTTCTCGTTTGCAATGATGATCTCAGGGTCAAACGATCTGTAGGTATTGTCCACTACCTTCATTCCGAGAGCAATACACTTGCTGGGTTTAGCTCTCATCGTCCTTGTCCATGCTAAGAATTCCTCCATTTGCCCGACCAGCCTCTTCATTTTGTCGAGTCTGTCAGACAGCAGGGTGAGATCATCTGCAAAAGCTCTGTTTGTAGTTGGCTCAGAGCTGAACGACGGCTTGTATCCCAGTGTTCTGTCGACCTGAAGTAAATCCAAGAGTAGGTTGAATGCTATTAAGAAAAGCACGACAGAAAGCGGGTCCCCTTGAAACAACCCGATTAGGTAGTAGAACCACTCACTCTTCCACTTCTTCGTCTTCACCCGTACTACCAGTTCGTCGTAGTACTTGACAATATATTGGACCACTTCTTCCGGGAACTTGTAGTGCCGAAGCGCAAACACTATCAGCTCATGGGGTACTCTCCCATAAGCATTCATAAGATCCACCCATACTGCATACACCTGTCTTCTCTTACTCTTTGCATCCCGCAGTTCCTCCATGAGCGCTTGTGTGTGTTCTATGCATCCTGGCATCTTGCGCAGGAAGCCTTTTTGCACAGAGGTATCGATGTACTTATTGGTGGTCATGTAGTCGAGCATTTTATCAGCTAGCATACCCATTGCCACTTTCCCGCTGGTGTTAGTCATAGTGATGTTCCTAAACTTGCCAGGGTCACTAAGGTCCGTGGTCTTGGGAAGTAGGATGCTTTCTCCAATTTTCCACTGCAGGGGGACACTGTTTGATAACCAGAGTTTACTAATACACGCATACAATAGTTCTCTCAGCCTGGCACACCTTTTGTAAACTATGTATGGCACTCCGTTGGGCCCTGGTGAAGATCCATTGCGTCGTGTTTGATCTTCTTTTCAAACTCTTCGTAAGAAGGTACTGTGCACACAAAGGGGTACACTGGGTTTTTGGCATCTGGTATTCCTGCCATCTTTTCGAAGACATAACATCTATCTCGGTCCATGTATTCCTTGGGGTAGTATCTGTCAGCTTCTTCCTTGCCGAAGGTAGGCTCTCCCGAGATCTTCTCATCAAGGAGTCTTTTACTGTAGTCATAGGGGTTCCTCCTGAAGCGTTGGGTCTCCTTCTTCTTTTCTTTCTTTTTCCTCTTCTTCAACTGTTCACGCCTAGACTTGTTGTGGATTCTCACTAGTCTCCAGTACTGCGCTCTTACTGCTTTGGCACCACCAGAAGTGACTCCGCCCTCTCTCACAGCCTCTCTATACTCGCGTGCTGTATCCTTCTTCTTTTTCCTGAGGGTCTTGGTGACTGGTCCTTCCTTATTGGGCTTGTCAAGGTATGGTTTCCGTTCTTCCTGTCCATATCTGTCAGCCAAGTACTCGTAGATAGTAAGTTCCATAGTCTTTAGCTCTTTCTCTGGGTCTTTACCCTTCA